CAGCACTGAGGTTGCTGTAGGCCTTCGGGGGATCAGCACTGAGGTTGCTGTAGGCCTTCGGGGGATCAGCACTGAGGTTGCTGTAGGCCTTCGGGGAATTGCTGCGGGATAATCGGCCTGCTCTCATCACAGACATGAAAGGCAGCATACCGCTGTATGACGACTCTCAGGACCTGCCACTGGACTTCCAGGATACATTTGGCTTCCTTGACGTCTTGGACAACATGACATCAAATCAGGTGTGTGGCCTGTATGTAAAAAGGTTGAAACCCAAGTGTGTATATGAACAAAATCATATATAATCATAGCAGTGGATGGATGGATGGATGGATGGATGATCTGTAATTACTCCAGTCATACAACTTGGTCTTCTTTATCTCTACAACAGGGATGCAATAAGTTAACAATTTAGATAAAGGGCAAGAATACCAGTTTACAAAAAGATTAATACTTTCATAGGAATAAATCACCTTGTGTAAACGGATTCTTATTCATTCATTGTATTGGCTAAGGCAAATTTGGATTGCTTTAGTCGGAGTCTTTCTGATTTTGTTTAGTTTTCTGCACGGAACCAGCAGATTGGCTGTGCAAAAAGTAGGAGGGGCAGATAGGGACATTAAGGTTGAGCACATTTAACCTGATGAAGGTAACGTAGATCCTGAATTAGAGTCAGACAAAGGTAAAATCATGGCAACTATGAATGAACAAATGAACAAACTAATTTATCCTGTATCTTTCCTTTCTCAATTTTTCTCCCTCTCTTCTGTCCTCTGTCTTTATCGGCCAACCAGGTGAACGAGTTCTCTGTAGAGCCCCCATGTTATGACACAGAAGAAGAGGAGGATTTGAGAGATGAAGAGAAGGACCAGCAAGTACCCAGTTTGTCCTGCCAGGAGCTGGAGCACCTCCCCGAAGAGGCGATAGAGAGTAACCCCCCCACAGAGCTGGACAAAGAGGACACGGAGACGCCTGTCCAACTACGCCAGAAAAACAACCAGCTGGGCTTCCCCCCACACAACCGGGCCTGCAAGTCACAGAGCCTACCTTACAAAGCAGGCCTCTTCCTCCAAACGGCCATCAATTTTAACGAAGAGTATGATGATGATGATGATGATGATGATGATGATGATGAAAGTGAAGACGACGAAGGAAGTGAAGAAGACGATAATGAAGATGACCAGCTGTTCTTTAGTCTGCCATCCAGCATGACGTTCCGCAGCCAGCGCCAGGAAGATATGGAGCACAGTGTGACCCAAAACATCGAAGATGGCCGCACCTCCCAACTAGGTCCAGCAGGGGGCGACGGTACCGGACTCAGCCCGAGTGCTGAGGACTTAGAGGCAGAAGTGAAGGAGAGAACAATGGAGCCACCAGGCTCAGGGCCGGCTGTCGACGCAGAAGCAGCAGAGACAGCGGTGGACCATGACGAGGTCGAGGGTGAAGAAGGAAGGCCAGAGCAGGCGGAGAAGACAGAGCAGGGAGACCCAGCAATCGAAACACACAGACAGCGGTAAGTACCAGGATTACATAACGAAACTCCCGGAAACCACGAGCATGGCTGCCATTCTTAGATTAACAATTTTGTCCATTTTACTTATATTTTTCCATATGTAAACACAACAACATACAATCATACATAGAGGTGTATATATTTATCCACATTTTATTTTGGAAGCCAACTATAACTTTAAGGTGTTAAAAGATGTGTGTGTGTAAAAATATATGTATATAGGACATTAACTGGTACCAAACACCTCTCTGAATTCATATATTATATGGATGCATTATATTTATTTATTTAAACAGCTCATACAACTTTATCTGTACTCTACTGTAAATGCAAGTCTAGCCTTGAAGACTTACTCATTGGTGTTTAATAGCACATAATCATGATTTCTGCTGTTTTGTTGTAGCTTGATTGACCAATTGGGATGCTTATTGGTATTTTTTGTGATGTTTTTAGCTAATTTAATGCTTGTTATTTTATCATATTGTATATTTTATGTGTTATTTATCTGCTAAATGGAGTTTTATCATTGCCGTTCAGCACTTTGGTTAAACCTATTGTGTTTATTTTAAATGTGCTGCACAGATAAAGCTGACTTTGCCTTTGACTTTCACAGTGAGGAAGAGGAGTGTCAAGCCGTGGGAGTTCGCAGCGAGGAGGAGGAAGACAGTTGTGATGTCAGAGGGACTCCAAGCAGGTCTGAGGATAGCCAAGACCACATGGAGGCTCCAGATGAAGCAGAAAGTGGTTCACAGGTGAACACTGTGCAGGAGAAGCCTGAGGCTACGCAAGCTAACACTGAAAGAGACGATTCTGAAGGTTGTTGTCAGTGCGTCGATCTAGGGGACTCAACAGACGGGACACCACTGGAAGAGGAAGCTCTCAGTTTGGGTGTGGAGCCTACAACCCCACCTGGAACAGAGGACGTTTCTCCTCCCGGGACACCTTCTGAGCTGCCCCCTCTGTCCCCGAATTCTTCTGAGATGCCACCAGAGGATAATGTTGTTAAAGAGGGGACCATAGCCGTCAGTGAGGATGCCATGGCTGGGATTTCTACCGAGGGGAGAGAAGCTTGCCTTCCCTCCGAGAATGTGGAGGAACGACCCGGAAGCTCCACTGAGATGACAGAACAAGGAGAGAGAGAGGTAGCTACTGACAGAGAGGGAGAGGGAGAGGAGGGAGAGGAAGGAGAGGAAGGAGGCGAGGCCCAAATTAGCGATGATATGCAGGAGCAACAGGACAGCAAAGAAACACACGTGGATTCCTCAGGACAAGATGACAATGACTATGCAGAGATGATAGAGACTGATGGACTATCAGAAGTAGCAGATACAGAAGAAGAACACAATGAATCTGAAATCAACAAAAATATCCGGGAAACGAATAAGGAAATTAAAGACGGAGGAGAGGAATGGAGGGAGAGCATGGAGGAGCTGAAGGTAGGGCAGGATGAGAAATCTGAGAGGGCGACGGAGGTAGAACTGGGGCTGCTGAGAACTCTGGTGGTGTCAAAACAAGTGCAGCCAAAAGTGTACCACGCCAAGGCAGTGCCCGTCGTCCCACCCAAACCCCAGCTGTCCAAACTGGCAGCCCTGAACCTCCGACAGCAGCAGCTGCAACGAGAGAGCAAGAGAGGGAAAGAGGGAGAGTGGCAGAGGGACCGGGATAAAGATAGAAACAGAGAAGGACAGGGGTCCAAGGAAGTGGACAGGGAGGTGAAGAGGAACAGTCCGATAAGCATGTATTTTGATCAGGCTGTTGCCATGGCTACCGAGAGAAGAGGGAGGGAGATGGAAGACAGAGAGCGGGAGAGAGAGAAAGAAAGGGGGATGGATGAAGAATGCGAGACAGAAGAGAAAGGGACTGATGGAGAATAATGCAAATGCACGGTAGGGGGCGATATTGTATAACCTGCAGAAATGATGTTTCGCATTCATGGTGAACCATGAATAATAGAAGGTAAGAATATATAAAACAGAAGTGTGTGCAAGAAACATATGAAGGAATGTATTCTGTGTACTGTATTAGTGAAACTGTCCTGCTAAACCAGGGGTGGCCAATCTTATCCGCAAAGGGCCGGTGTGTATGCGGGTTTTCGCTGCAACTCCCTAATTTATATTACTAATTAGAGGACTGATTGGCTGAAGGGTCCTCACACCTGGGTTTGAACAGCTGACCTACAGATTATCCCAAAAACCAGCATACACACCGGCCCTTTGCGGGTAAGATTGGCCACCCCTGCGCTAAACCATCCATCTCCCATGTATATGAAAGACGAAAGCACAACAAAAATAGTTAATAGTTGTAGTTGATTATAGTTGATACGGTTATTCAGATCCAGTTACATCCATTTAGGTAGCAGAGTTGTAGTACAGTTCGGTAATCCCAGAAATAACCTTTGGATATATTTTCAAGTACTTCAAATGTTTTATGTTCAAATATTGTCACCCCCAAAATCTGAAATTCAAAATGATCATGGTTTATTGTAAAATGTAAAAATGTATTTTTACTGAATTGTACCACTAAATTTGTATTAATTGCCTTGGCATTACAACTGTATTTTTGTATGTTCCCGTGTTTTATACAATAAAGTTATTCTATGTTTTAATCAGATTTTTCTTCATGTAGTTTTTAGAACAAATGTTTACAGCTCTTTTTTGTTATACTTACGTATTGCACTAATACCTAAGAATTACACAAACACCGAATCATTACACAACCTGTGAAGGGACTGCAAGTCAAAGGAAACGTCACAGTTTTACTTCTCTGTATTTAGAATACAATTTCCAGATGACCTTTACTGTCATTATCAGCACGAAACTGCTTGTGCATTAAGAACAGTGCACAGAACTAATAATTCAGGTGGGATAACACGACTAAGTGGTTTCGTGTTATCGGATGTAGGTGTGGAAAAACACTACGGTCGCTATCCTCTCTTCGGCCTTCCGACCGATAGGTGGCACCACAAGTCTTGAGCAGCCGGTGACCCTCAATTACGGCGTATTTCAGAAGAAGAAGATGTATCTCCGGAAATAAATGTGTGGCATCTAATGCGTCTGTGCTCTGGTTTATTGGAAGCGTGCTTCTTGTTGCGTTCTCACTGTTTTACATTTTGCACATGAAAACAGTAGTTGCCCCGACCGTGAAAAAAGTGGTGAGACACGATCCGATTAAAATGCAAAACTGTGTCGACTTCCATTCCCAGTTGACTTCCATCATGGACATATTAACAAAAGCTGCCGTGGCAGAAATTATCAAAGTTGTCGAGGACAACTGCTGTGTTTTACGCTTGGAAATTAACCGGAGTCAGAATGAAAATGAACGGCTGAAGAGGAAGATACAATGGATGGAAAGCGAGTTACGGGGGAGTTACTGTGCTAATGTTTATGACGGATTACTGGGAACAAAAAACGGTAAATCCCATAAGATTATTCAGAAATTTAATCTACATCGATGAAACGTAGCCTTTATTATACCATTCGCATGTTAATATTATATTTGACAATTAAAACTAACTTTAAGTATCAATATGCTTAATTGTGCAGTTCCCACATTGCCTCTAATGAGTTTTCTTGCGTTTCGATTAAAATATGTGTTTACGTATAGGTGCCAGCATCTATTATTTTTGTCGAATACTCAAAACATTACGCTTGGTCATGCAGACAAAAAAAACTTTAACCGGAAAGTATTGCAGCAACTGTGAATCACACAGTTATGTATCACGTTTTTTTTCTTCATGTGTTCCATTTTCCCTCTCAGACACTGTGTCTAGTCATGACGCTGAAATACTGCCTCCCGTTGACCACCCCCAGCGTGAGACAGACTGTGACATGGAGCCTGTTGCTTCAGAAGCTCCGGAGGGCCAGGCGGTGAGCCCTACAACGGATGCCGGAAAACTCCCTGTGCAACAGAGCCCTTTTCTCAGCAGTCAGGAAACCCTGGAGTGTGTAGTGAAACCTGAACAGGAAGAAGAGCAGAGTCCAAAGGGATCCAGAAATGATGAAGGAAACCGAACAGACGAGGGATGCAGCCTTCTCTGGACGTCCTTGACACAAGACTACAGTGACACAGGCAGTGAATATCCAGATTGCTCCCAAATTGCACCTGTTACTGTAGGGTGCTCGCATGGGGTGTCATTTCAGACAGCATCACCGCCTGCTTCTACGCAAGTCGAAGATGCTTGTGAGACACAGTCACTGCTGAATAATACCTGGGACTTCATGCCCAATACAGTCCCCATTAAACAGGAGGCTGAAATACACTCAGTAGCCAGTGATAAGGTCAGATCAGATAAACCTCACTCACAGCAAGAGCAGTATGGACAGAAACTACTGCCGTCTGGAAAAAACGAGCATTTGACAATAAAGCTCAAGCAACAGGTACATAAACCAAAAGGTAAACAGTTAAAAGTCGACAGAAGCCCAGGAAGGACAAACTTATGCGGAGAAGACAAAGACAGATGTACCCAGAACAATGACAACTCTGCCAGGAAGATAAAGACGCAAACAACTAGCTCTGGAAAAAAGTGGTTCATCTGTGCACACTGTGGGAAGAGTTTTGCTTATTTTAGCTGCTATAAAATTCACCTGCGAAGTCACACTGGGGAGAAGCCATACAGCTGTGTCGAGTGCGGAAAGAGTTTCACCCAGCAAAGCAATCTCACAAAACATGAGAGTGTCCACAGTGGGAAAAAGCCATTTAGTTGTACACAGTGTGGGAAGAGTTTCAGGCATCGGTATAATCTAACTCTCCACCAAAGAGTTCATTCGGGTGAGAAGCCATTCCAGTGCATGCAGTGCGGAAAGAGTTTTGCTCAGTCTTGTCACTTTAAACGGCACCAACTATGTCACGAGGGTCAAAAATCCTATAAGTTAGTCACCTGAAATTGAGGTTAATTTTTGACATATTTATAAATGAGCTTTTTTTAAATTAAAAGATTTTATGAGTTACCCTGTGTTGCCATAACACCTCACACAGCAAATTCACATAAGTGAAGAATTTTGCATTTTTGGAATGATAACTCATGGAGGATCATTTTTTCATACTTAACATTCTTTCAGATTTGTCAGAAATATATGCAAAATTGAACCAAGTTGTAATGAGGTAACTTCTCATGTTAGAAAAAATGCTGGGTAACAATGGAACAGTTTAAAAGACTTGGGGGGGGCAATATTTGTATCTACATAGTATTTAAACAGGAGAAAAATTTCAGAAAAGTGGTGTATAGGGGAGTCTGATGGTGAAAGGTTCTGTGGAACAAGCACGGAACCTGCATTTGCATTTTGTGTTATGAACCATGACACACAACTATTGTCGAATTTTTATTTTAAATATTTACATATTCATCCACAATGCATATTCTGCTCGGGGTAGAGGTGGAGTCTGGAGTCTATCTCAGATGGCACTAGGCTGGAGAACATCCTGTACAGGATGATATTTATATGTATATCCTGTTAATTGTTGGCTTGCAAGACAGTTAAAAGGAAAATGGGAATGTATGATTCTGATTGTGTTTAATAGTAAATGTGTGCAGATGAAGTTATGTTCCATTAAAAATGTGTAATGCATCTTTTGCAGTTATGCATGTTTTATGTTGAAAGCTGTTTTTGTCATAAGTTATTGTTTTTGCAATTTACCAGAGAGGGTAGTGATTTTTTTCCTTATGCATGTCATTTATCAAACTGAACAATGATAGAGGTACCTACCAGAGGTTGATTTTCTAAGCATCATCATTTTTTTAAATGAACCTAATCATATAAAATAATGACAGTTACCACGATGATAAAGCTTAAAATGTGAAAAAGTCAGGAGTGAGATAATTATGGCCATGTAACATCTTTAGGAAACATATATTATTGTTTTAAAATATAAATTATGGCCATGTAACATCTTTAGGAAACATATATTATTGTTTTAAAATATAAATTATGGCCATGTAACATCTTTAGGAAACATGTATTATTGTTTTAAAATATCAGATTCGTAAACATTTTTTGGAATAAGAAGGGAAAAGCAAGTACTATATAATAAGACATTTACATGAATCACACAGATAAATATTTGATTTAACACACTTGGCATTCAAACATCGTCGTTTTGTTCAGTGAAGTGTGATATCCTTTATTGGTATTCCACTCTGTATAAAGACGTTAAATAGTTTAGGCTGGCGCTTATTATAGCACCACCATTACAGAAAATGTCTTACGAATTTATTCTCGGCTGAAGCTATTTACGTATGGCAGAACTGATTTGTGTCAGGTGCCTATATACAGTACCTGAAACTTCAATGTGGTAAAGTGTTTGTGTTGAGGATGTCCTCGTGCATTGTCTTGCAGAGTAAAATGCTCCTCTGATATGACAGGTATACGTGGGAGGGCTGCGCTGGTGCATGTTTATTTCAGTTTTTGTTTGCTTCTAACGTTTGTTTGTTTTTGTCTGACGTCACGAGGTCTTTGCGTCACTGCCGTAGCCGCCCCGGTTGTGCGGAGAGCGTCGGTTTGCGCTGGACTGCGCTGCTCCACTTCCGGACAAATACGAGCCTTGATCATTGACATGCCTTGCCTATTCATCATTTAGCAAAAATATATACACGCAGTAACGAAAATACATATATAAATATTATTTGTCTTTATAACTTGACAAGCAGAAGGAGGGAGATGAATTCATCCAGCGAGATGTCGGCTTTCGCTAACATCCATGCACAGTTAGCGTCCATCATGGAGATACTAGCCAGATCTGCAGTGACAGAAATCAGCAAACTTGTGAACGATAGTACGGAGGTTTTGCTGCTGGAGATGTGCCGAAGACAGAATGAAAACGACACCCTGAGAAGGAAGCTGGAGTGGATGGAGATGGAGTTACGGGCGGCTCGGAGGGATGAAGCCCGGGAGAGTTTCTCCTTTGGCCGCACCGTGGGAGTTCAGGCTGGCGATGGCTTACGGGCGAGGGAGAGAAACCGATTGCATTGTAGGTAGTGAGTTTTAAGCGATCATAAGTTATTTTGTGATGCCAAATGCATGGATCGCAGAACGCATCCAAATACAATCGCATGCATAAAAGTAGATTTGATTAATGGTTTCATAATGAAAGTAACGTGCATAAATTGTTGTTTTCAGTGGAGAGACGCTCGGCTCAAGTAGGGAGCGACTTTGATCAGCACTGTCCTCGCCTGAAGGCAAATGGAGGTCCTCCGCCTGCGGAGGAGGAAGTGTCTCGGGGCCTGTCTATTGTCGAGGTCAGTTGTACGTGCGATCCTTTCGCCTACGCTTTCGTTAATCTTCCCTGTTTTTATTATGTAGGCGTAAAGTTTAAATAGACCGCCCATTTGTTCCCTAATATCCCAGCACACATGGCATTTAAATATCAAAATTAAATAGCAAAATAAAACAGCCTTAAGTTAAATCCGCAGGATGGTAACACAGTGTTTTAAGAAAAAATGACGTTTACTAACACTCTGCTGACAGAAGGACGCGATTGTTCTAAAGCTGAGTGGGGTCCGTACTTTAAACTGTTCCATTAAACGGAAAGTTATCAATTTTAAAGAAAATGTTGATTAAAAACATTAATATGCAGTTAACGCTATATAAGTCATAGTGCAGAAATTGTTCCATGGTACACTTTTTATAATGTACTGTATATTGTGCATATTGTGTATTGCATATATTATACAGTCTGAATCCTGTATGTTTCGCATAGTGGTTTTAAGTTAAGTCCTGTGTGGTGTTTATTACATGCTACATGTGCTCATTGTGACCAATTCACCACACATATTGGGTCCCTGGCAAAAGTTTTTCTGATTATGGCTAATATTCATATTCGTAAGAACGTATCATAGTTTGCCTTGTCATGGATGCATTTATTAGTAAAAAAAATAAAATAAACAAAACAGCTGATGACACCGGTTGGGTTCTGAAATCCCTTTCAGAGTAATCATGCCATTTTTCTTTTACAGTCTGCAGACTTCGAAAGAGGGACATCGGGAACACCTTTTATCAAGGAGGAAATATTTGAAGAGGAAATCAATAGCACTGAGTCACGGAGAGGACTGAAGAGCTTTGCTGGAGGTAATGACATGGGCAGTGACTCGGAAGAAGCCACTTTATACATGTTGCCCCAGCTGCAGTGAAAACAGTGAGATCGATGATGACAGACCTGTACAATTTGGTAAAAGAGTGAGATCGATGATGACAAACCTGTACGATTTGGTAAAAGAGTGAGATCGATGATGACACATCTGCACGATTCGGTGAAAATGGTGAGCCATCAAAAAAGGGTGGGGTCTCATACAAAATGATGCACAGATGTGGAAATTTTGACCAATATTGATATATTTTGCTGCCTGGGGGGGTGATAATGGTGACGAAAATTGGCTGAAATTGTCGCTTTTTTTAATTTTGCTACATAATCATAAACTAGCACTGAGGTGTTCTGCATCTCTTGTGATTAATCTTTTCCTCACACCTCAGCCAGTGGTTCTGGTTCGGACGCAAGGAAGCTGCATCCTGTCCTGCATCGGCAACATGAGGAGGACAGCGACACGCGACTCCTAGACGGCTCAGAAGTGCAGGAGGTCCATTCTGCCTCGACAGCCACAGCAGAAGATCTCGGGGAAGCGGAGGAAGGAAATCAGCAGAGAGTCGCGAGGGTCGATCAGGCAGAACTCCAGGAGTGCACAGTGAGATCGTTCGCTCCGGCCTCTGTCTGTGACACGTATGAAAAGGAGGTTCATCTCTGGACATCTGCTATACAGGGGGACAGCGAGACCGAAACTGATGACCCCGATTTCCCTTACGATACAGAACAGAGTCTGTCAGATGTAATTGAGATTCAGCCCATTCCGGCTGCAGGAACAGCTTTATGTACGGATTTGTTGCCTTCGAGGGCCACTAAACCCCATTTGGGAATGGTGAGCATCGCGCCTAAGGAAGAGGAACCGACAGTGCAGCCTGGGTGCAGCGAGGACACTAAAGCTGGACTGGCTCAAACCCAGATGGATCCCAGAGAGAGACTGGACTCGGGGGTGATGGGAGAGCAGCCGTCCATTGTAGCGACTAATGATCAGGGCAGTTACCGCCTCAATGCAAACAGTGTCAGAATGGCGAAGAGAGTGAAAGGGCTGACAAGAGCTCCCAAAGGGGAAAAGCAGATCAGCTGCATGCAGTGTGGCAAGAGCTTTACCACCCGATTCTATCTCAAGATACACCTGAGGATACACACGGGAGAGAGGCCGTTCTCCTGTGCACAGTGTGGCAAAAGCTTCTACTGTACATCTCACCTGATATCGCACCAGAGGTCCCACACTGGAGAGAAGCCTTACAGGTGCCATGTGTGTGGAAATTCCTACTCGCACCTAAATTCCCTGAAGTTACATCATAAAGTTCACAGGCAGGAAAGACTGTTTAATTCCACGTAGAACTGGAGGGCTTCGTGTCCGTAAATCGATGACGGTGGTGCAGTGTGTGACTCACTGCATTGGAGACACTGGATTTCAGTCCAGTATAATAAGTTGCGTTCCTATAAGTTTAAGCCGTGATTTATAAGTCAACAGCTGTTGTGTAGAACCTTAAAATCCGTCACACGCAACATTGCGAGCTATGCTGAGTAGTAATTAGCACGTTCTTTAGGCAACTGATAATGTTCCCTTTTTTTAACATGCAGATACAGATTGTGCCTGGATGATGAAAGTTAAATGTGTACTTTTTTGAGGTTCCTGAATCTTTTGAAGTAGGAAAGGTTTAAATGACCTTGCTGTTCTTTTAAGATGAATACTTAGGCTACATGACAGTGCCACTGTGAAGGCCATTTAGGTGACAGCTGCTGGTATCACAGAGGTGTAGGAACTGCCCCCCCCCTATTTTATTTGTATTCATTTATCCTTTGTTTAAATTATTGTGTAATAATAATCCTATGCCGTTGGGCTCACACTCTGAATAAGCTGATATCTGAAGGGCATTGTAAACTGTCGATGAAGAATGCCACTGCCTTTGTTATTGTTAAAGTTACCATTTTATTATTAATAAAATAATCTTTTGTTCAAAGATTCTTCCCATATATAGAACATACCCAGATATCTTGAATGAATAGGTTGTTTTTAAACTTCTGTAGAGTGAAGATCTCAAAAGAACCAGGCAGCATGACCATGGGATGCAGAATAAAATGTATTCAAATACTGCAAGTACTGACCAAGCTAAGGCATATGAGTATGAGTAATGTTGAAAGTAGGAATACTTTTGGTGGTGTTGATACTCGGGCTGCAGTGGAGGGTTTAATGTTGGGAGTTGTATGCGTTTGTGACTGTCCCCCAAAGCAGCCGATTGGCCTTTTATATGACAATGAAATATTCTAATAGTATAGTGAGGTCTGTACAGTGTGGACCTCTGCAGTTAATTTTACTTTCAAAAAAATACTGTCACTGGATCAGGTGAATGCACTGCAATGCCTTTTTCAAGTTGTGTTTGTTCACTTATATTTTAATTCTTTTGTTTCATTTCAGTTTTCTTGTCTGCTCATATTGTAGTTTTTCCTCATTTCCATTCTCTATGAATATGTTAACTTCATGGTAATTAATGCACTGTAATAGAAAGTAGTAACTTTCGAACATTGCGGATACAATTTGAGGCATTCGCCTTTCAGCTGAAAACCAAAACTTTGCTGGACTGTTCACAGTAATTATCTTTGATTTTTCAAACACTACTGTTCATTTTACAACTCCAAAAAGGAAAAATAACAAAAAAAAATATTTAAAAGAACAATGTCATTAAATTGGTTAGATTTAGTTCGAAAAAAGTTAGAAAAAAAGTTCACTGACTTGATTTTGTGCATTATTTGCTAACATGACCTTAGTTTACATTGTGAATAAAAAATGTGTAAAAACATCATTACCAGGCTGTTTAGTTAAATTCAAAAGTGAATTAGAAGTAATGTACAGTACCAGCAGTCTAGTAAGTGATTTGATATATTTCTCTTTTGCCAACTACAACAATAAAGAGTAAAGAAAAAAAGAAAGTTAACTTAGCTATTGATAATCCGATACAGTCCTTTTTACTTCAACAGTGAATAGCAGAGATTAATCATACATAATCTATATGATCCCACAACACTAACCCGGATATGTGGTTGAAAAATGGAAAATTTATATGCTGTTATTGCAAACTGATGTGCTGAAAAAAATTAACCTCATTCTCTTAAATCATGCTGAATTGATTAGATGAATTACAAGTTTAGATGGAACGAAAATGAATATAAAAGATGCAGTGGAAACGCCTATATATCTGTCTGGGTGAAATTGATCACTATAAGCGGATGATCATTATAATCGTTTTTTCTTTTCTTTTCTTTATGTCTCAGGCAGATTACCATCTAATTGACATTTGTATATTTATTACACAAATATAAGGTAATAAAATGGACAGCGTCACTGTTTAGACTGTTACTCTTCTGCTGTCTTCTGAATCAGGTTTGACACCCCTTAAGTTCTTGCAAGGAAGACCAATTAAGCCTATTGCCTTTCATTCTATTGACGTTTGGATGATAATCGGAAAGAAGGTGATGAAAGTATCTATAGAAATGTCGGCTTTTGCTAATATCCATCCACTAACGGCATCCAGATCTGCAATAAGGGAAACATAATGCCAAGAAAACACTGATGAGCAATATATCTTAAAGGAGCCAGAGAATGAGCCACAAACAATAAAAAGCCCCTGCAGTAGCTGGTTGACACACTATATAAAGGTAAAAATAATAAATTAGGATACTAAATCGGCAATGCTATATGTGCAGCTGAAACCGAAAGCACCGGACTTTTACTGTAACGACGTCGGACGCTTCTTGCCGCGACTTGGCTTCGGGCGAGGAGCAGCGGGTCGGGAGGAGGTGTTGTAGTGTCTGTTTTCATTTATTACTCTAAAGTGACCTTTCAAGATTGCTGTTTATCTTACACAAAAGCTGTGTAATTACATTCAGGCTAATGAAAATTTATGAGATAATCTAGTTGAGGTGCCATCATTCTCTACAGTTAAGGAGCAATTTAAAAATCAGTTTTAATTACATTCTTGATCACTTAGTCATCTCATTCATATTACCTAACCTGTGGCAATTATGGAAGTTTTAAGAATGAGTACTATACCTTCATGAATATATTGTATACTTCCACAAGTATATTTTTTTAAATCAGACATCTATGGTAAATGGTAATGTGCAAATCCATGAATATTTCAACAGGAACATCGAGAAATGTAATTTACCACCATCTAAATAATTCTATAAACATTTATTATTTTACCAGGCACTTTTGACCAAGGCAACATACAAATAAAGCTTAAAGCGCATCCCTTGCTCATGGGACCAGTGGTGACATCGGGCTGGTATCCAAGAGATTTGAACCAGCAACCCTCCAATCAGAGCCACAGAGTCCTAACCCGCTGAGCTGCACACCGCAGGGATACAACACAAGGATAAAGTTGTGTGAAGATCTAAGCTGCACAACACCACCGAGGAAAACATTTTTGCGCCGCTTTTCTTTCGGTAGCTGCGCCGAAGTAGGTAAACTGGACTACAGTCCCTTACTGCGAATTCCTCGTCTGCCAGGTTTCCGGGACTTCGGGCGCATGCGCAGTGTCCCAGGGGGAATTTGCGTGTCCGACTGAGATTTCTGTCCTCTTTCAGAACGACATCACAGTAATATAAGTGCTAAATGATTCTGTTTATCATTTACCAAAAAGTTAAAGGTATGTTTGGTAAATAAGCAGGAAGACGATGATGAAAGTGTCCATCGAAATGTCGGCTTTTGCTAACATCCATCCTCAAATAGCGTCCATCCTGGAGATACTAACGAGATCTGCAGTAACAGAAATCTGCAGGCTTGTGGACGGTAGCGCCGAGGTTTTGCTGCTGGAGATGTGCCGCAGACAGAGTGAAAACGACACCCTGAGAAGGAAGCTGGAGCGGATGGAGATGGAGTTACGGGCGGCTCGGGTGGCGCAGCCCGGGGGAGGCCGGGGCTGCAGCCGCACTGTCGCGGTTCAGGCTGACGGTACCTGCATGGCTTGGGTTCATTAATGGTGGTGTTTGTTTGTTTGTTTCTTTGTTTTGCTTACGCGCACTCTCAATATGGATGGCTGTATAATTATAAGCTGATAAATCTAGTGTTTTATTCTAACGGGATCTTCTCGTTTGCAGATAACATTGATGGGGATGAAGAGTGCATGGGGACATGGGGAGGTAACATCCTTACAGCGGTGAAGGAGGAATCGTGCCACTTTCTGTTAGTGACAGAAGAGGTCGGTGCAGGCGCTTAATTACGCTGTTTTGCTACCGTCGATGTCTTAACTAAATGCAAGCCGCCTGATTGCTTTTCTTAGGGAGGTGACTGATGTTATAGTAGTTGGTTGTGCTTTTTAAGACCGAGTTGGCAACAAGGCCGTAGTTAACCTACTTTCAAAGTTTGTTTTCGGATGGCATAATGCTAGCGGGCGGGGTTGGTGTTTATCTAGGATATAAACCTGGCATATTCTGCTGCAGTCTGTAGACACTGACGTGGGCAGGCCAGAGACTGTTATCATCAAGGCAGAGGGACAGAAAGATGAATCCGACTACGCAGAGTCACACGGAGGACTGACAGTCATTACAGCAGGTACCAACCTTGGCATTTATCACGACACTACCTAGTTTTGAAATCTTCTGCATTAAATCTTTGTGATTACTGGATGTAACTTGGATATTTTTTATTTTTTAAGTTTTTTAAGAGCTTAATATATGTATTTTTAAAGTAATCCCTCTCCTTACTCTGTATTCCCCACCTAATTTTATTAGTTCTGGTATAATTTTGTCGTTGGCTAGTTTGTTTGTTTGTTGGGTGTTCAGGACCACGGTGGAATTACTTTTGGGATCTTTTCATATCTAACCACATGCTGTACAAATTTCACTTCATAAGTTTTTTTTGCACATACCCCAAAACTATCTGTACCCTAAATCTGGGGCTTGTTTCACTAAACAGGGTTTCCTAAGCCGGATATCTTTAGATTTAAGGTAGTCCAGGCTAAATGTAAGCGAACGAAGATAAAGTCTGACAAGTTATCCAGCTAAGCAAGAAATCCTTCTTTGTGAAACAGGCCCATCTGGTTGTCCCACCTTTATTTATATGTCTGCGTGTATATTTATTGTTTGTGTCTTTATTTCTGTTTTTACCTCTATTTTACTTTTATTCTGTTGTTTTTGTACTTTTGTCTTGATTATATGTTCAGTTGTATGTTAATTGTAACCTGCTCAAAACAAATTCCTTTCGCTTTTTTGTACTTGGCGAATAAAAGATTCTAATTCTAAATCTAAAAGAAGAAAATGTGTGGTTTGGTGTGTTAATGCCTTGACCGCAGGTAATTGTCTTGTGATTCGTGTGTTTTCCTGAACCGGACAGCAGATGGCGCCTCTCCCAGCTTCAGCCAGGTGCGTCCTGGTGAGCAGTGGCAGTGTGAGGGGGACGGAGACCTAAAGGAACAGCAGGTATGACCAGTTCAGAAGGTCAGAAAACCTCAGGTAGCACCAGAACACCATCGGGTAGAATTCTAGTGCTGCACAGGAAAATCATTCTTCGCAGATTCAGTGTGTGACGTGTGTGCGACGTGCAGAGTAACCGTGTGTTACGGCCTCAATTTGAGCACACCCAGCTCTAAGAGACGCAGTGCAGATTTTATGTTTAATACAGAAACAAAATATCAAAATAATACATAAAGCTTATTACACATAAGACTAAGAGTTTCAAAAAACCATGAATTATTTGTTTAGTCTACCCAGGTCCGGGGTATGCAGCGACCCCAAATAAAATAACAACCCTCCTCCGCCCACACACAGGATCGAATTAGTCTGTGCTCCCCCTGCAGGCCAAAACAGGAACACGCATATCCCCCTACAGACAAACGCAATACAGTTGTTGCAGTATCTGAATGCTTCTTTTCTTCCGCAGGGACTGTCAAGTGTGAGTCAGTTGCAGTCGGTTCCTGCTCCGGGGGCAGTTTTTTGGACAGGTACTCCGCCTTCGAGAGCCGTTAATGTTAAGCCACGCTTTGGTAGCCTTGGTGTTGTGCCTCAGAAAGAACAGATTACGACGCAGACTGGATGCTGTGAGGTCTCTGTGTCTGGAGCAGCTCAGTCCCAGCAGATGGACTCGGTGATGTCCAGCCAACAGCAGCAGCAACAGCGATCAGCAGATTCCACACAGGGAACAACGGGAGATGGGAACAGCGTTACTGCAAGCGAAGGCAAAATGGCGACGATGTTTAATGTATTAAAAGGCGCGAAGCAGTTCAGTTGCATACAGTGTGGGAAGAGTTTCAACGACCGCTTTTACCTTAAAATACACCGGCGAATACATACAGGAGAGAGACCGTTTTCTTGTACGCAGTGTGAGAAGAGGTTCTACTGTACGTCTCATTTGATCGCGCACCAGAGGTCTCACACGGGAGAAAAGCCTTATAAGTGCAATGAATGTGGGAATTCCTATTCTTACCTGAACTCCTTAAAGTTACATCAGCAGTCTCACACGGGGGAGAAGCCTTACACTTGTGATGCGTGTGGGAAGTCCTACTCCCACCTAAACTCTCTGAAGCTTCACCAGAGGACTCACACAGGAGAAAAGCCTTACACATGCAACGAATGTGGGAAGTCCTACTGCCACCTTAATTCTCTGAAGGTACATCAAAGGTCGCACACTGGAGAGAAGCCTTACCGTTGTGCTAAATGCGGAAATTCCTATTCTCATCCTCAGTCTCTGAAGTTGCATGAGAAGTCACATGATTTAGAGACATTTTAGTTCTGACGAGAGAGAATTCTTGCTCTCGACTTCCCAATGTGCTGTTCCTGCACTGCTTCTCTCGTATTTATTTAACAGACTTTTTTTTATCTCAAAGCCACATAGAACTGAGGAGAGCAGAGTTTAGACAGCATGTTGAATACGGCCTCTGCTCTGTGATTAGATGATGTTTCTGTTACCTGTCTAAGTTGCACTCTTCTGAATTTGGTGATCATTGATCACTGTTGACACACAACAGCACACAGTGCGCAACAACGAAATGTGTCCTCTGCATTTAACCCATATGTGACATTGTGACATAGCAGGGGGCAGATAATTCAGCGCCCAGGGTGCTTGGGGATGGTACCTTGCTGGTCAGGGATTCGAACCACGACTGAAAGGGACTTGGCCGGAAATGAGAAGCATTTAACTGGTCGATGGGAGAGCCAATCAAGCTACCATGTTTATGACCCATTAGGGATTGTAGATTTAGAAGTCATCCTTCTATTTGAAATGTTTTCTCTTTTTCCCAAGATCATTAATAAAAACTACACTATTATTGTTATTTTTATTGTAATTGATATTTGTGTATTTATTGTGAGTTCTTAAATGGTATGTAATATTTTGTCACTTTTTGGTGCTGGACAACAGGATATATGTTTGTTTGGAGATCTTTGTCTGGTGTCAGTATGGGTACCGTGCAGCTGAACTGGCAGTGTGCTATCTGTCACGTGGTACCATGCAGCTGTACTGGCAGTGGGACATCAGGCATGTGGAATGGAAATTGCCATTTTGTTTTATTTCTATTCAAACTACAGCAAGAGGGAACATAAATCCCTGACTTTTGCATCATTTCCTTTTGTTTAATCTGTACATTATATATAATTCACAGATATGTGGTTACTAAGCTGCTTACCTGTAAGTTTTGAAACCAGAATGTCATTTATACAAAGGTGTAAATTTGGGTGTGGACAGTAGGGACATTGCATTTATATAGATTATCAAGGTAGATTCTGCTGAGGTAACACAACCTGGAGTGCCTTTTCTATAGTGATTCACTTTTTAAACATTAAATAAAAAGAATGTGCAAAATGTGAAACTGAACATGTTATGTTTCATAGTTCTGGAGAAGAATGTACTGGTTGGTTCAGGCTTTGGATCCTGGCCTGCAAAGTTTTGAGAAATTTTACAAAACAACACAATGTAATAATGTAAATTTCACTTAAACAATCTTGTTTTAGAGATTCGGCCATAGTTAATTTGCTAGTTTATTTCATTATAAGGTTCATCGCTTAGAAACTTGAAATGCTGCCAATAATACCATTGACTGGGTAAGTATATAGGAGACACATTAGCCAGTTAAATACCAACGTGCAGTGCATCCTCCTGTAATTAACAGAAGACCACAGGCAACGTTTCGTTGCAAACGTATTGGAAATTGTCCGTCTGCGTCATAGGGTGCCAATAGGCGATTTAAAAGATTTCAATGAGAATATTTTCCAATGTTTACGGTAATTCGATGCGTCACCGCCCCCTCCCCACGGCTATGCGGAAGCAATCTACTTCTGTGTCTAAAGTCATTGAATACCGAGCTACTGCAGCTCCCATATCTAGATGCTCGTGCACGCGACTGCAATCGGGAAATATGTCTGTCTGTGTTAATTTTCAGGCACAACTGTCGTCGATTATGGAGATTTTATCTAGAGCAGCGGTTGAGGAAATTAGCAAACTTCTGGAGGATACATGCGCGGTTTTGCATCTAGAAATGCGCAGGAGCCGCAATGAAGCCGTGGCGTTAAAGAGGAAATTGCGCTCGATGGAAATCGAGCTGAGTGCAGTCCGAAGCTGTGGAGCAGGTGTGCAGACTAATGGGCTCCGTCATATGCAATCAGATCGTTCGAAATACTGACTTTAATCCGCAATGACCATAAATAAGCTGATTGTAACGTTAACGTAAAACTGACATTTGGTGTGTTTTCCTGATTCTCCTCTTTAGAACATATTAGTGGGAAGAACCAAAGTAACGGTTCCTGGCAGTATGGAGTTCCCTCAGCAATGGGAGACAAAAACTACCAACATCTGTCTCTTGTTTTGGGGCAAGAGGTTCGTTTACTTAGCGGTAGCATTTACTGACGGATTCAAACGTATTCAATTTTTAAATGCATACAAATAGTAATACATAAAACTTAACTTTGTCAAATTATTGCTATGTATGCATTATACTGAGTGTATAAAGTTGACATGCTCTTTTGAGTCCGTGTGTGCATCTTTCTCTGGAAACATTCAGTTGATAGTGCTGGGGATTTTTTTACAGTATGAAAAGGTGGAAGGTGAGAGGACTGAGATACTTATCATCAAAGAGGAGAGCCTTGAAGACGACCGCGAGGAACCAAAGCACTGCCGAGGTAATGATCTTATTATTATACCTCAAAATGTAACCACAAAGCTAATGGGTCATAAGTATAACCATTTACAAGTAGGGATGGGTGTATAATTCAAAATGTTTACATTTTAAGTACACTTATGCTGTAGTTCTGACATCTGCTGTTTTTTTCTTTAAATGCCCTGACAAGGTTTATCTGCAGAAATCGATGCTGTTGCTGTAGCGAGCCCCCACCTATCCGCGTCCGAATCTCCATTCCAGAATCTCAGAAGCGATGAGGAGTGTGACAAACAACCAAACCCTTCAACAGTAGAAGAACAGGACCAGTGTTGGCAAAATGGGGGGGAGTCATGCAGCTCCGAGCGAATGCAGACCAGGAAGAGCTGTCAGTCACGAACAGGAGGTTTGGAAAATCCAAAGGACACGAGAACCAGTCACTTGGCAACGAGTTGGAATAGTGAAATAGAGGCTGAAAAACTGCGGCAATCTACTGACAAATGTCTCTCGCCGTTTACAGGGGACCATCATCCCGTTGCTGTTGTTGAGTCAGGATCTGCTAAAACTCAGTTCTCTGTAGGCTTCTCTGATGTGAACTCGCATGTCAGCTTGTTGAATCCATCCACTGTAAACGCGAGAGCTGAGGGGCTGGATGAATCCCGCCTGCACTCGGCAATGAGAGACCATCACGCAGCACCTAACCAACCACAGAAATCTTTGGAAAGACAGTCGGTAGATGCTGACAGAGATACGGGGCTGTACACTGAAATGGTGGAAACGCTTGCTGTGTGTCAGCAAAGTCTGAACTCCGCAAAGAAGATTGAAACCAAGAAGACGTTTGGTGTTCGAGAGAAACAGTTTTCCTGCACGCACTGCGGAAGACATTTTAATCGCTACAGTCATTTTAAAATACACCAGAGATGTCATACAGGAGAAAAACCGTACTGCTGTACACAGTGTGGGAAGCATTTTAGTCTTAGATGCAATCTCATAACCCATCAGCGAATTCATACTGGTGAGAAACCATTCTGTTGTACCCAGTGTGGTATAAGCTTTGCCCAGAAATCTAGTCTTAAAACACACCAGCGAATTCACACTGGGGAAAGACCGTTTTGTTGCGTTCAGTGTGGTAAGAGTTTTGCTCAGTCAAGCAGCCTTAAAACACACCAAAAGGTTCATAGTAGAGACAGTGTAATGTAACTAAGAAATACTTCACTATCAAATGTGTCATTGTCATTCAACGTCCTGTACCCAATTAAAAGCTAAACTAGGACTGCTACTGAAACGCTAGGTCTTATATAAAGTACAATTTTTAAAATGTCCATATCCATTAATTACTACAGGTACTGAAGTAGTACAAAGACAAAAAAACCGAAACACGGTTTTAGATTTTCCTGTGGTGTTTAATGTAGAACAGCATTGCATCTGGAGGGTGGTTCCACGAAGCAGGATTTCCCAGTTAGCTGGGTTAACTTGAGCTCGAAGTTATGATTGTCCAATAGGAATGCTCCTTACCTAAACTCTTATTGGATAATCATTAATTCAAGTTAAACCAGGTAACAGAAGTCCTGCCTCGTGGAAAACACTCCCCAGGGTCATTAAAAATCTTATACAGTTCAAATGTTGTATTACATAAAAACACTTTTGGGGCCATTCAGAATGGCATCCAGATGTATGTATATTTTTTTTAATCAACAGACGTTTTGATTTCTCAAAAATTCTGATCATCAATAGCTGACGAGTCATTGTTAACATTTTCAAACGGCATTAAAATTTCCTAAATTCACAGTCGATAAATGAATTGTTCTATACAGTTAAACTATATAAAGGCTGATTTTCCCCTTTCCTGTTAAATATTTCTTTCAGTGATTCTTTTGGTTTGTTTTAATTGGATTAAACTATTTGAAACTATTTTAAAAATGTTTTATTATTTCACCACAGATGGGTCAAACAAAAGAACACTTAATCTTCTGAGCAAAAGGTTAAAGGAGATGGGATCAATGCTTACCGCAGGGTTTCACACTGCTGTAGGTGAACACTCCTTTTCGTTTGTGCCAAAAGATGTTCAGAGCCACATACAGTACATGAACAACTATGTAATCAGATCTCCAGGTGTCCCCTTCAGCTACGTATTTAACAAACTGATCATTGCTGTTTTCGGCCGGCATGTTGGCTCCTTGGCTAGCACTTCTGCTGCACACCTGCATCCCACCCCAGTCCTGTGTGGGTGGAGGTTGCACGATCTCCATATCAGATTGGTTTTCCTCCCACGGCCCAAAGACATGCAGTTAGGGTAACTGGTGTCTGTAACAGTCTACAGAGTATGACTGTGCCCTGCCGCGGACCGGAATCCCAGCCTCGTTTCCCCTGCGGCCAGTCCCCCGCCATACGCATCCATGACACTGTTGATCTCTCTTGGGGAGATTCTCTTTTTGCCTACCCCATCTTGCTATCCATGACACACAGATACATACAGCTCTAGAAAAAAATTAAGAGACCACAGCAATCATTGCTTAATTTTTGGCTGTGCGTGTGTGAGTAATGTGTATGTTTTACAAACTGCAGCCTGGTTCTTCTCTGTTTCTCCTTAATGAAGGGCTCCTTCCTTGCTTTATGGGACTAAAGTCCTGCTTCTAAGGGCCTGATATGAATTATCCTATAGCAGTGCACTTCACACCTGCACTTAATGTTTCCCATTCCTTCTGAAGGTCACCTGATGTCATCCTCCGATTCATGAGAAACTGTCAGATAAGTTGACAGTCATCTCTTGCACTAGAAAGTTGCTTCTGCCCTCTAACTGGCTGGTTATTGGTCATTCCCAGTGTCTCCTGATTCACCTTGATCTTGTGCACTGTTGTCTTAGGAACTTTGAACCTGGAAGCAACTTGCCGTGTGGCCTTCTGCCAGCAGAAGCAGGATTAAACCTGAATTTTAAAATAAAGCTTTAAAAAAACATATATGGAGCGGTCTCGTTATTTTTTTTCCAGATCTTTATGTAGGTGAGAGCAAGCTTAGCAGGGAAGGGCCGCCACCGGCAGCGGCGCCCATGTAGCTCATCCAGCTGTCCATCCATCCGTCTATCTATACAGTACAGGTCGATGTCTAATTAAGTTACATACGCTGTAATTTGCACGGGGGCTCCAGTCTATTTAAAGTCACTGTAGCTGGTTTTCAGTGTGCATGTTCCATCGCCAGCTTCCAGAAACTGCGGAAATGCGTGTTGATCTCCAGCCAATCGCGGTAGTCTGGGCGATCCACGTGACTCCGGGTTTACGGTTTACGGAAGCGGAATAATAAGAAGCCCTTATGCATTTGCGCAGATACCCTTATTTGAAGCTATAAGGTGTCCAGAAATAGTTTAGAAAAATGATAAACAGTGTTCATTTTCGTAGACAGGTTGGTGCGGTAATGGAAATCCTAACTAAAGCAGCGATCTCGGAAATCGCCAAACTTGTCGATGATGGCTCTGCAGTTTTACGCTTGGAAATGTATCGGACCCAGAGTGAAAACGAAACGCTGAAAACGAGGATACGGCAGATGGAGAGCGACCTGGAAGCGGCGCTGGGGCGCGGAAAGGCGGCCGGGGCGCCGGAGCTTCCCGGAAACACGCGATCTGTCGGCGTTCAGGCTTTCGAGGAGTTTAAAGGTGCGCCGATGAAAACCAGCGGTTTGCTCTTCGTCGGAGCCTTAATGTTCGCCAAGCCCTTTGTTACAACCCTGGGAAAGTTAATGCCAGTGAAATCGGCTTCTCTTAATTCTGCGTATATCTTTCCACATAAGAGCTAGGACAGGATTTGACAAAAATTGGTTCTCAATTTAAATTGCATCCCCTGTTTTTATACTAACGTCTTACACTTATGTGAAACCAATAACCCTTTAGTATAAATCTAATTTTATGACAGCCTTTAAAGAGTGGCCACAGCTTTCAAACAGGAATTGTCAGTGAGCCTTGTCTTTAAGCGGCATCAGAAGTTCCAGTGGATTCACGCACCCGGTCCGGTTCGTGCTCTCTACCGTATTAATAGGGCTGGTAATGACTGTCAGCGCTAACGTGGCTCACGCAGAAGTTGTGCCCCAACAGAAAGAACACATTCAGTAACTGCCGATATTTCAGGATTAGCTTTCTTATGCCAAAGCATTATTTATAAGCCATACCGTGTGTCAGTTAAATTGTATTTAATAGTCTGCATTTCTACGAAAACGCTGTGCGTGCTGAAGATTTTTGGGAGAAAACATATTAATAAGGGGAAGTTTTAAAAGTCTTTCATCAAAGAGAATCAATAAAGGTACACTATTCAAATATAATGCATATAAATAGTCCTTGGGTTACTAATTTTGTAGTTTTTCCTCGCATGTTTTCCCTTAAGATGCACTGTATTTGTATATAATGTATTCTTGATTTTGTAATATATGTTGATGCTGTCATCCAAATACAAGTTATTTCTAAGGCATCACATATTACTGTATTATTATTTATTATCTGTTTATGTTTTAATATCACAGAAGAAAAACAACTGTGCATCAGTGTGTGGAGGGAGCAGAGGCCAACAGCCCAGACTGACAGCGAGCTTCTGCACACCACAGTGAGTGGAAACTGGCTGTGTGTACTTTGACCACAAAACTTGTTTGATTTGATACATAACATGTTTGGGGACTTTTTTCAACATAGGCTCCAGGGGTGGAAGAAGAAAGCCCTGAAACTCATATCAAACAGGAAACGCTTGATGGTGACTGGTGGACCAGTGACCCCCAGAGATGGCTGGAAGTCAACAGAGAGGGTAAAATCAATTCCGCTTCTGTAATTGTTATTATCTTTGCACATGACATATTTCAGTTTCTTTTATATGGTCGTATTGTTTGTTATATAATGGGCTTGACTTTCTAAAGGCCCTGCAGAAAAACTCCAAGAAGGTCAGGATGCTGAGGACGTCACGCAGACATCTTCAGGAGAGCCCAAGGTGCTCTGCGAGCCACGGGGGACCGAGATAAATGATCAGGAGCTGGATGGGCTTCCGTTCGGGGTGAAGGCAGAGTCCTGGAAGGGATGTGCAGCCCAGAAACTAAATCTGACAGAACAGGAATACAGAACAGGAAGACTGAACTCTCTCACCACAGAATATGCAACGGATGAGAAAGTCAGCCAGCTATGGACTACCTTTGTGCAGGACAGCTGCACAGAACCTGGAGATCCTCCCCAGAAATCGCAGGAAGACTTGCCGCTTCCCCCTGCTCTTTTTAACAACTGCGGCAATCCGTCCTTGGCGGTCAATGTGAAGCTGCGTTTCGGCACGTTCGATTCGATGGCGACGGATGAGGACGTAGCCGCGTCCCCTGTATGTCGCGACGAGCCAATACCGCCAATACCGACACGACAGAGCAGAGAGAAACCGACTCCAGCAAGAAGAGTCGACGTGACAATGCCGGCCAGACAGCAGCATTACGGAGGGCCGGCGAACAAAATGACACCGAGCGAAAATACGGAAGGTGCGGAAACGGACGCACCGAATAGATACGTACACATGCTGAGCGGCACGAGTTTTAACATGACGAAGATGCTGAAGACGTGCCGAAAGGTGTGTACGGAGGAGAAACCGTTCAGATGTTCGCACTGTGGGAGGAGTTTCAGCCGTTTGACCTGCCTTAAGATCCACCAGCGGAGTCACACGGGGGAGAAGCCGTACAGCTGTCTCGAGTGCGGGAGGCAATTCACGCAACAGAAGAGCCTGAAAACTCACCAGAGCGTCCATACGGGGGAGAGACCGTTCAGCTGCACGCTCTGCGGGAAGCGCTTCTCCCGGCAGGATAACTGCACGCGGCACGAGAGGTTCCACAGCGGGAAGAAGCCGTTTAGCTGCAAACAGTGCGGAAAGTGCTTCACCCTTCAGAGTAATCTTAAAACGCACCAGCAAATCCACTGCGGGTTTAATCGTTTCGTATTTGCATAAAGCGCTGCACTAATTCAATGCGTATTAGACTGCCAATTATTACACTTGCCATATAACGTCTAATTCTTTTCTCCAGTGAAAAACAGCACAGAGGCAATTTTTATTATGCAAAAAGATCATTTATATATCATGAAACGAAGATGCTATAATCTTCGCTGAATAACTTCTTTTTTAAAAAAAAAAACCAAACAGTGAAGCTAAATAGTTTGCGTCTTACTTCAACATGATTATATTTTGCTTCAGGGCTTTTGCGGTACCGAGGCAATTTTAATATACTCAACATCTGCATTTATCTTTTCCAAAAGTCTCAATGGAAGCAAAGCCTCCATTGTCTCAGTATGAATGTCATTTAGTGTCAGTGGGATAGATGATGGATGGATGGATGGATGGATGGATGAATTTCTAAATACCTTTTGCTTTTCACTTTCTATACAATTATGTAACAGAAACTTCAAAGGCAGTGTGATACATGATACTACTTGCATTAAAATCAGTTCTCAGTAAATTAAACTGCTGAAAATCACATTAATGTCTATTGTACATTACAGAGGTCTATTTATAGCGACTAGACTATTGAAAATATAAACTATGGCAAATATTTAATGAATTATTGTATTTTCCACATATGACACAATTTTACTATTTAAATGTGTTTGTTACTGATATTTAGAATGGCAATTTTTTTTTGTGGTTTCTCTGTGTGTGAACTTTTATTACACTACTGTATGTAGCGCAGTTTAAATTAATAAAAATGTTTCAGACATTTAGACATAATTTGAGATGACTCCCTTCTAGTTCAAGCACAAAGAAATTAGGCCTAATCTTCATCTTTTTGACTCAAAAATAAAATCTCAAATGGTACCTTAAGCCCAAGGCCATATGTCTCTTTCTCAAGTTTCCATTGTCTACGACATCTCAACAAAGGGCACCTGCAAAACTCTACTGGTAAATGTATTTTTCCTTCAGAGAAATACAAGTCCTGTCATTGCATATGCTGATTATTTACTGATCGTTCAGTAAAACTGAAAAGTTAAAATTTTGTTCCATAATCACAATCATCTGTAGCCTTTATCAAAACGCTGAGGTAGAAAATTTACTTCCCCCTTTTTCATCAAAGAACAGATTGTCAAGGACGGCTTTATCATCGACCAAAATAAAACCGTCTGAATGGTATTTTCATGTCTCTGGCTTTATTGCACTCTTCAGACCTTCTAAATTCCACCAACAACAACCTTTCACACTCAAAGTGTACTAAACAAACTTAAAGATTTACAAGTGATTTTTTGAATAGGCATGACACAAAAAATATAAATATATATATATTCTAGGCATCTTAGAAATCCTCTTTAGAAGTCATAAGTTGAATAAAATTGTAAACATGGTATGAACAGATATAAATGGAATGTACAAGATGCATTAATTGCATAACAGATGACATGACTGAATAACCAAAAATGAGCGATCAGCCGGTGAACGCTTCACTTGCTGAGACCATGTTAGTGAAAATCATTTTTAACAGATGGAATATCACACATAAACGAGAGAAAAAATGGCATTGTCAGACAAAGATGATGGGTATCTGATGGTTTGTCACAACCTGTTACCTCTGCAGAATGAGACATCAACAAGCCGTCTTTGCGGCTGCGAAAACCCGGCGACCACATGAAGCGAAATCCAACCCACCAACTGATGGAGTCACTGAAGAAACTGCTTGAAACATCATGATTTCTTCATGATGGGGTGTGATTATGGGACATTGTCTCAGTTTGTGGCAGATTTGATCTTTGACTTGACAGCCACAATTTCCTGTATTTTCGCTGGTACTATGCAGCAGGTTACATTCAGTTTCTTAGTTCACCTTTTTATCCAAAATAACACTGAACTCATTTCACTGCTGGGAACATCGTTGGCACAGCTGAAGCACCACAGCCAAAGTTTTACAACTGGGACCTACGTGGGGCTTGAGCTAGCAACCCTCTGGCTCAGTGCGTGTCCCACTACGTTCATCATTTAAACACTAGACAGTCTGGCAATATGTTGAATATTAAGCATCCCGTTACAGAGTCAGCTGACAGGAAGTTCCACAGGAAGTTCTAAACCCGAAGGTCTACACTGATCTCTATATGATCTGACCCCTGGGGTGGAGAAGGATGGCGTTGGGATGGGGTTTGGGTTGCAGGTATCCGTTGTTCAGATGAAAGTGGCTGGAGAGGGCTTCTGAAATCTGACTGCTGTTTGTCCTGCAGTCATCCTCTCCGTACAGCTCCTCCTCTGTGTCCTCCCATTTCTCCTCACAGGCTTGTGTTGGGGAGGATCGGGGTCGGGACCCCACGCGCTGCTTCATCGGTACCCTCGCGCTGATGCTTCGCACTGAAGGTACCCGTTCACCGATTCCCAGGTGCTGAGGCTCCACCCCCATGCCAGCCTGTGTAGCAGACAGCTGGTCCCTGGAACCCAGGGCTTGCGTTCCCGACCAGGCAGAGATGCTGGACCTTATGGTCGCCGCCTGGTCCCTCGCCCCCGGGTGTCGCGTTACTGACCCTCCGGAGAGGCTGGTCCTTAGGAGCGACATCCGCTCTCTGGAACCCAGATGTTGCAGACCCGTCACATCTGTCATGCTGGTCCGGCCCTGCAGATGGTACGGAGGTATGGATGAATACCAATGTCCGGAGAAACAGACAGAAAGTGAGTGAGAAAGAGAGAATGGAGGGAAGGATAGGAACTGACCAGGAAAAACACGCAGGAAGCAGTTAGCAGGAAATTTAAGTTCTCACTTCATTTCCCCTCAATGTTTACCAGTACATTTATTTATCAAGGAGAAGCTTCTATCCAAAACAACAACAACTGAAATAGAACGGTCAGCCAATGCCTGGAACAACTGGAATTACGGGCCTTCCTCAAGGGCCCGACCGTGACATCACTCAGCTCTCGCGGGGATTTACACTGATGACCTGATCGTGGGCAGTCATAACTAGGGGTACATTTCAGCTGTTCAGCTGCGCGGTACCAACAATGCAAGTCACTAACGTCGTTTGCAGCTACGCTTTTGGGAAACTGGGTTAAAAATCAGCCATGGAGTTTTTTGCCAAAGAGGAGGGGTGGAACCCCCTTGGTAAATTTTGTTGACTGGGGGAGGGATTCCCCCACCTACCCATCGCCCCTCTGGGAAAATGCCCGGTATGCCAGCACAGCACTGGTCCTAACCCACAAAGCCACGCACCCTATACACCATGTATCCAAAACGTCACTCAGATTCACAGAAACACGCATGGTCTGTATGATCTTCCCTCCTATGCAGACTCTCACCAAAGACGTGCTGCTCAGGAAGGACTCAGCCCTGTGCCTGGGGGCCTGTCTCCCGCCGTCCATGTCCACATAGCCATCAGGGTCTTCGTCTCCGGGCCACATAGAGTTATGCAGGGAGTCGCCAATAATGGTCTCTGCCTCCTCTTCCACCATGCTTCCATCATAGCGGGAATAACCCCGGACTGAAAGATCCTGGTGCACAGCCAAAGTCGATCATGCGTACGGCCATAGCTAATTAACATGCAAGCTACTCCAGGATACGTCCCTAACCCTGTGTTTAATTACCTTGAGTGTAGAAATAGCACTTTCCAGTCTGAGGGCAATATTGTCTTCCAGCTGAAACGAAAACGGAATGAAACTGTATTATATATTCATGTAGATGTAAATGCTGGTTAATCTGGCATTTTTTACTGCTGGGACGCTGCACAGTCTTGTGGAACATGGCTCCTCAACTGGTAAGTCAAATTATTTTTAATTTTCTTTTCTAACGTCACACTTTTATTTTGAAGGACGCCTTTTCTGATGTTGGAGCCGTTTCCATGGTCACATCAGTTAGAACATTCGTATGAAGAAGCAAATTTGGTTTAAAATCTTCTATTTGGGTCACGACTCGGTGAGCAGAACCAGGCATGAAGGTTTGGATGCCAGCTCGCCCTTCGGTGCGTCTCCGACATGCAGATGGCCGCGTGTAGGTACCTGAATGCGAGTGTCCGACGCCCGGCGATCTGAGTTCAGTCTTCGGACAGAATTCTGTCTTGATAGAGAAATCAGCTCCTCTCTGGAATGAGCGCAAGAGGGAGACAGAAACCAAATGAAGCTGAGGTATCAGTTCTGGATGGACGTGGTCACCACTGACATAAACATCACGCGATATCGTGGCCCCCCCCCCAACCTACTTCTTCTCATCAAGCTGTTTCTCCAGCTTCTTCTTCTTCTTCTGATAGTGACATTTCACCGCGATGAGCGCAACCACCGTGATCATCAGCAGCACACCGATGACGCCACACAGAGTGTTGACGATCACCGGGTTATGGGCAACCCTTGGCTCTACGCCTAAGTGCGGGAGAGAGCATGTGATTCATTGTGATGGACACAAGGGGGCAGTGTGGGCATGAACATGCGGCTACAGACTGCAGCCACATGAGGCAGTTGTGCAGCAGGTATTAGGATAAAAAGCCGCTCACTAGTCATGTGAGAAAGGAGGAGGGTCCCAGACACACACAGATTAATGTTGGGTAGCACCTATAGCGCTACTCATACATAGGGGGTCAAACATGGGCTTAGATATCCTAGCAGGGGTGTAATTACACACCCTGCATCTCACAGAGAATTTGCCTATTAGAAAATCATGTTCATTCTACTGGACAATTTTACTTTTCTGGGTTGCTGGTGTCAGATTTACATTAGCATGCATTTGTAGTATGAATTCAGGCCTTCAGAGTTTTTTTTTTTTACTGAGAAACATGATCCATTAAAACTCTACTAATTTCACACAGAGGTCAATTCATGATCACACAGTCATGGAACTGATAAACTCTTGCAATAAGGGCGCCCCCTACCTGTCACTACTACATTGACACTGTCCTTGCCAGTTCCTACAGTGTTGCTGGCCAAGCAGTCGTACACTCCGGAGTCTGTCACAAGCAGGGGCCGACTGAACGACAGCGTCTCCCCCTGTATGGACACCCCAGGTGGCAGGGCCCCGCCGTTTCTGCAAGAAGATGGAGAAATGGATTCTCGGCACTGCGATGTGCAGTCACTCTCCGGTCTCCATGGCGACAAGCACCAAGGTGACTGCACAGCCTTATGGTCCCCTGGAGGACAGTGTGGCTGACCCCGGCGAGCGGCTGCATCTGGCAGGTGGCCTCTTCAGAGGGGCAATGCTAGCAGACGATGGCAGTCACTGGGCGCTGTTTGGCTGCACTGCCACTCGATGGCGCCACAGACACCGTTTCTCAAGCCCTAGCAACTAAGCATCAAAGTAGGTACAGTACAAACACAACGGATTACGGTATGCGGAGGGGCACTGAAGGCAGCGTGGCTATAGACAGTCTACGAAAAGCAAATGAGAGAATTAAAAATGGTTGCTGTGTTTTTTATACGATGATGTCAAATACTTTTTGACTTTTAGACCTACGTCTTTGACCTGTGCAATGCGTGGATGTACCCTACAAAAAGTGTGGTTATTTTAGATTTGCAAACCGGTTCGACCGACTGACTGAAAAGAACTGGTTCGAAAGAACGACCTGTTCTTGGATTGGACCATGGTTCACCTGAATAGCTGTCTTGGTGTGCAAGTAGCGTTTCTTACTAAGACCATATTGTGGTGTAGTTCATGCAGTGCTGTTCTCTGTGACTGAAAATCATACAAATACAAAATGCGATTCTGCACTGCATTGGACTAATATATCAGTCGCGTTTGAAGAGATTTGCGGTGTGACGTCACGCGTCGTAGCAGGACTGACTGCACTCTGACTGAACCTTCACAGCTTAGACACTGTCACAGTTCATTCATTCATTCATTCATTATGCCACAGTATTTATTTCTGAGCCATTACTACAGAATTCCTTGCAAGACTTTCCCTGACATTCTTTGCACTGTCACCGTTTATTGTTGTCTATAATCTGTCTATTATTGCTTAAATATCATTTTTGCTGCCTGCGTGTGCGATGGATGGATGGATGGATGGATGGAATTTCTTCGAGGATTAATAAAGTATCTATCCTTCCAGCACTGCCCCGGAAGTGTATCTGGGGGCTTCTCTCTTGCTTTCTGGCTTTCCCGGATTTCCATGACCTGAAATGATCCCGTATCTCCCACGGACATAACCAGCAGCTGATCCTCACCTATGAAGACCCCACACTGTACCCTTTTATCTCTTGCCGAATTAATTTCGTGCATGTTTGTATTGCTTTGTCCCTCAGACTTTGTTCCCTGACGGCCATGGACGTGTATATGTGACGAGTTACTGTGTGTGACCTGCCAAACCAACTGCCGATTCGGCCCACGTCGTTTACGCATTACATCAGTAGTTACGGAATTCAAAAAATGCAAAGCGTAATCCTTTAATTACACATGCTTTGTCTTTAAATAATTAGTGGGAACTAGCCTCTCTCTGCACATTCTGGAATTTCAGGCTCATCGTAGAGATTGTGTTGCCTGTCCCTCCTTTGTGAGGAGCGCAGAAACGGACGCTGCTGTGCCGCAAGTCGCAACACGATGCCACAGATATTGCGTTACACCGAGAAGAGGAAAGAAACGACTGCCCTAACTGTCCATGGGCGTGCACGCTCACACGACTGTGAAAAGCACGCTTTGCCAGAAGCACACGAGTATGCCTCTAGTGCGGTCGACTTGCACAAGAGGAAGTGAACGCATGAATATATTTGTGTGTGTGTGCGTGTGTGTGTGTGTGCATGTGTGTGTGTGCGTGTGTGTGTGTCCCTCCACGTGAGCATGAGCCACTGGGCAACTGCTCAAGGCATCAGTCTGATCCTTTATCATTTTGTGTGTGTGTGTGTGTGTGGTGCAGGTATACCTTGTGTTGTGGGGACCAAATGTCCTTAAACGTGATAAAAACCTGTTATTTTGATGTTGTGGGGACCAGTTTTTCAGTCTCCATAAGGATAACCTCAATTTTATAAAAATCAGCGACTGTAATCGAAGAACTAAAAATGTAAAAAGACGCACTTTAGTTACTTGTTAAGAGTAGGGCTGGGTAGGTTAGGGTTAGGGTTAGGGTTAGGATTAGGGTTAGGGTTAGGATTAGGGTTAGGATTAATCATTTCAGGATTTCAGGCCCCACAAAGATACAAGTACAGGTCTGAAAGTGTGTGTGTGTGTCTGTGTGTGTGTATATGCAGTCGAAACTAGCGGCAGACAGTAATCCGCTGAACAAAGCACACAGGAGTCATGACGTGACGTGACGTGACAGAGATGGCAGTACCTGCTCCAGGAGAAGGTCGGGGCTGGATTCCCTGTGGCTTTACACTTCAGCGAGGCTCGCGCTTGTCCTGCTTGCCAGGTTTCTTTATAACCACTGATTGCCGCTTCAGGGGAATCTGCACGTCAGACACACAAACACACTCTGACACGGGGAAGTCACACAAACAAGGAACCGCTTCAGAATCCTGTAAATCCAGCACAGGGCAAAATGGAACATTAAGGGCTGGATGAAGGACGTCTGTGCTGCGTGATTATTCTGTGGGTAAGGAACGGAAATGCCGCAATGCTGTTTACTTAATCCTGAAGCGGACCAAGAAATGTGTGCGACTCAGCAATACTTTTTTTTTTTTCCCCTGCATCTCGATACGCTGACGGTAAAACAGAGAGCATGAAGGTTACGGCCCCGTTCAGCAGAAAGGCTCACAGCGCAAGCAGGAAGCAGTCGAACAAACACACAGTAAGGTATGCTTACGGGAACAGCGAAGTTATGTCACAGTAAAGGCAGAATAAGCTTGCGGTCAGTATGTAGGACCACAGATTAAAAAAAAAAAGGAGGGAAACTCATTGACAGGTAAAGTCAAGCCCATAATCAGGTGAAGTAAAAAAAACCCAGTAGACTCACAGTGAACAACCAGGTAGTTGGATATCCGGTAGGGCTGTGGCAGAGACGGGTGTGAGACTAGGCAGTCCAGCTTCTTCCCATCCATGCTGCGCAGGGGTTCGATGAAGTAGTATGTGGCCACGGACCGGATACTGGAGGTGCGGTTCTGGATCTGACCCTTCAGCTCAGTGTCCCAGGTCACCACGGGCAGCGGGCGCGCCGCGGAGCGACAGGTGGCCGCCACACTCCGGGGCTGGCCCTCCATCAGAACCACCGGCTCCAGGTGGGAGATGGGCTTGACTGGGAGGGTGAAACCAAAAATCAGACGGGCGGGGGCGCCGCACGGGGACGACAACAACCAACTGCATGACTACACTATAAAGTTATGCAAAGAATTCTTTAATGAGCAGCCAATTTGGGGTAATTACCAGTACGATAAATTACAACATTAATAAGACGGAGAATGAGGCGTACCCCACACTGTCAGCGACAGCTGCTGCTCAAAGTTTCCCAAGGGGAAGGTGGATATGTGGCAAGTGTATTGGCCTTCGTCCGACTCTGCGGTGCTCTGGATGATCAGCGCCGCGCTGGTCATGGGGTCGGCGCTCTCGAATTTCACCCGGCCCGAGAAGACACCAAACTCTGAAAGGAGGAGGGAATCTTCTGCAGTCATTGTGGAACTGATGTGCAGTGCGACTGGCTATTGGGTCACACATGACCACTGTGGGTCTGTACTGGAAAAAGAGGCGGATGGGTTACAAATGAGCCATTTCAAATGGGACACTGGAAGCACAAATCAGGGAAAGGGCACATGAAATAAGCAAGACGCTGAAAACCATAGTAAATATATTCATCCGTAACTTATCCTGGTTGGGATGCCGGGGGGGGGAGGTAGCACTAAGGGGCGGTCACACCCTGCACGGGATGACAGCTCATATACACCACGAAACAAATCAGACACTACTGGCAACCTAGAGCCTGCAACCAGCATTTACTGCACGTCTTTGGACTACAAGAGGATACCAGGGCAATACACAGAGAACATGGACGCTAAGCAGAGGTGGGATTCGAACCTCCAACGCTGTAGGTGTGAGGCAGCAGCGCCCCCTACTGAGCCAAAAGATCATTTATCACCACGCACACAGTCGAGTTTCCCAAATCGAGTGTGGGGTCCTCTTAGACCGCAAGATGGGCTTCATGGACCAAACACATCAAGGCCTTCGACAAAAAACTAATACAGAGGAACAGACCCACAGATCCACCCAACAGCAGCCGCAAGACAGCACTACAGTGAAACCACAAATTAGTGATCATTATCAATCAAAACAAGAAAATACCAGAGGAATGGAAATGCATTGACAAGGTGCAGGGTTATTAGGAGCTGACAGTGCAGATTCTGAGATGAGAAGGCAGAGGACACTGAACGAAACGGGCTTGGTTCACTGTCGTTACCAAGGAGACGGTGCTACATCTGTAAGATAAATATGACAAGGGCATCATTCTCTCAAAGAACGACGTCGCTCTGGCATCCATAATAATGACAAACTGGACATTCACAGCAGGCGGCAAGCCTCTTCCTGCCTGAATAGTTCATGTGTTTTACGGCTGGTGTCTTTGGAATTCAGCTTATCCTCCGATAACCCGGCAGATCAGGCTCATTTGGGCCCAGCCTATAAAGCATAGAGGAATTCCACCGAGCAAGAGGAGGACGTGGGAATGAGGAAATTTGATTTAACCTATCCGTGCCACGTATTGATTTCACGTCACCATTTCCTGGGAACAATAAAGCATGTTTGTGCATGTCACAGGACACCTTAATTAGACACCTGCTTAGTGATAGTGATTAGCACTGCCTGAATGCCACAGCCGGCACAGAGAGGCCAATCGGCGTGAGCAGGGTTACCTTTCAGTCCCTCTGTCGGGTGGGCAGTGATGACCATCTCCTTGGTGCCATCTGGCTTGTCGTGGGTCCAGGTCACCTGCACCACGCTCACGCTGGCATCCCCCTCCTGGAACTGGCAGGGCAGCCGGGAGGGCGTCCCCTCCATGGAGCGTACTGGGAACAAGGGGGGGGGTTCCAAATTCTGGTCCCGTACAACGGGCACTGCGAGAGAGAGAGAGAGAGAGAGAGACAGGCAGGGCCGGGGGGTGTGGGGGACAGAGAGAGAGAGAAAGGGAGGGAAGGAGGGAGAAAGAGGGAATGAGAAGGGGAGAGAGAGAGAGGGGGAGAAAGAGAAAGGGAGGGGGAAGAGAGAGGAAGTGAGAAGGAGTGAGAGAAAGAAAGGGGGAGAGTGGAGAGGGAGAGAGAACGAGGGAGAGGGGGAGAAGACGGGAGAGAGAGTCTGTCAGTTACGACCGTGATCCACTTTACCACAATAAAGGGGGACGGGGACAGACCTTAGCACAAGAGGGGGGGGGGCAGACTTCAGCATAAGAGGGGTGGACAGGGACACACATTTCTCATGCAGGACACTCTCTCCATTTCTCCACTCTAATGGAACCATTAATGTCCACAACCATGTGATCAATGCAGGGAATCAGGGCACATTGTATTTGTTTTTATTATTGTCACATCACATTTACTTATGGGGCATTGTCAGTCAGTCTCTGAGGGGTTGAGGGTCCAAAGGTGAAATCACTCTGCTGACCTGGGGATTTGAACCAGTGATCTTCTCATCATAGGCAGTGTACTAACCTGCTGAACCACACACTACCCCTAAGAGAAACACTAGTTATTTGTCTGGGGGGTCGTGGAAGGGTCAGGCTGAAGGTCCGTAACACTCACATCATCTCGTTTCCAATCCAGTGAGTTTTTTTTTGGTATTTTTCCTTGTCTCTATTAACAAAGCCAAGACCCCTAGTGGCCAAACGCAGCCACAGTCGGGGGCCCGGCGCCACCTGACTGTCGTTCCGTTTCGGCGTGTCTCTGCCCCTAAGCTGAGGCCAACGCTGTGCCTTTTGTTTTAGCTCCTCCACGCTGCCTTGTTATTCAGCCCATTTACGCTCCCAGCCCAGCTCCTTCCCTCCCGCCTGTGTCACGCGACGCCGTTTGCCATCCCGCCCGCAGCAAAACAGACAATTTCATTAATAGGTAACCGAGTCATAACTGGACGGAGCTCTTAGTCACAAGCCCTTCCGTCACACCACCTGCGGAACTGGACAAACGCGTACCATTACACCGTAGATGCCAGTAATAATAAAACCGCAAAAGCAAAGCAGGTCGTTTTATTATTACTATAAAATTATTAGAAGTGCTGCATGCTTCACGATGATTCAGCTTACGATATTTCAACGTTACGGCGGTCTGACGTGCATCCAGTACTCATCAAACTCTGACTTTTCCAGGGTAGCGATATGCCGTACGATACGTACCGCTGACGCCGGGCGAGGGCAGCGTCCACCAGCCGCGCTTCCGGTTTCTGTAGCCATCGCGAGCGTAAACACCTCACACAGTGTTTACCAACGTATCATCCATACTGTACATTTAATGATAGGATTAACCTGTATTCATGTATTTACTTTTCAATTACTGCAACTTAGTTAGCTATAGTAGTTGTGTGTTTATTTTGTCAGTGACAGTAGCTAGTTATTTATTTACTTATCACGTCATATTTAACTTATGTTTTCAGCTTATGATGGGCTCATCTGAACATACCCACATTGTAAGTCAAGGGGCATCTGTGTAATAAATAATGATTCTTTACTGCTAGTTAAACAAGTATATAGGATTCTTTACTTTTCACATATCCTACACATTCATTAGACACACATCAGAGGCGTTTGGCCCAAAGAGGTGGAGATGAAATTATGAAACAAGAAAGTTTGAAATAACTAATTGCTAAAAATGTATTGTAATTTAAAGACATTTTCTATATTATTTGGAAAAATTCACCACTGTAACATTTTTACTTCCTCAATTTTTTTAGCCACCACTGACACACACACATGCACACACACACGCGCACACACAGGCTAAGATTGTGGTCAGCGTGAGCTACTTATGCGGCATCTCTGGAGAAGTTGTTAGGTTTAAAGCCCCCATTCAATAGCAAAACAGATCGGTTGGCAAGCCTCGTGATTCAAACCAACAACCCTCTGATCACAGAGTCTTAACCCACAGAGCCACACGCCGCTGAAGCAACAAGAAAACAGGATATGTCTCTGGCAACTGGAGGCCAGTGGAATTCAACTGGCTGTGAGCCAAAGTGTGGAGCCCATGGCCGCTTGCTGGGCAGCAAAGCCAGCTGGTTGGTCTCTTGCCAAGGCAGCAGCGAACGCGGACATTTCACACACCTTCGTGGCACGATGGCCTGGCAAGGCCAAACCGGCTTGCCGCTATCTATCGGTTCAAAGGGCGCATCCGATAGACGGGACAAATACCACAAATGACAGAGGCTTGTGTGCATGTGTGAGAGATAAGACAGATTAATGCTGCGCTGGGTTTGTGCTGCACCAGAAACGTGGGAAAATATGCAGATCTATGAGAGACTTTAAGAAAACCACTAGAGCAGCACGGTCAGGGCAAAACTGGCTCCCAGACGGCAAAGACAAAAAGAGCGAGAGAAGGAAAGAAAGGAAAAAAAAAAAAGAGAGTTTCACAATGTCAAAGTTGAACAATCTTTAACCGGAATGAAAAAAATGTAGTGTTAATGATATAAACTTGATTTAAGCAAATATTGCTTAAGTCTGCATGTACATGCTAGTACACCATATATTTGTGATGGTAAACAACACGTAACATATTAGCATTGTACTTAAACTTCTATTAACTGTAAAAAAGAAAAGTTCTTAAACTTTTAGGAACTGTGTCAGTGACTTTTTGCAAATGCTATACTAAAAGTAATCTGCAGGGTTATTTATAGATTATAGAATACTTATGAATATTCTGTGCATGAGCAGGCAAGGTACAGTTTAAGAGCTGGAGGCCTCCTGGGACCTAAAACTACACCCCTGGCTCCTTAAGTAGATCCATCTGCTGAAGTGCAAGCCGGCTTTTCCTGCTTGCTTATTCAGGACCTTTAAAGTCCTTCAAAGTCTTCAAAGAACTGGCAAACTGATACCACACAAAAATAGTGCTACTTCCGCATCCAGTGCTGTGATCCATCACCCACTGCGGACCTTTACATTTCATAACGGGTGGCCCCTTTAATAGCCATAAACAACCGAACACTTCCTGTAACTGTTGATCAGACTCACACTCTGGCTTGCAGGCATACCGGCCGATTCCTCCCTGCAGAAACGTTCCGATCATGAATTACATGTGGCAGCTAGAGGTGGGGTGTGGCTCCGCGGGCCAAGTCTCTGTACCTCTGATCAGGAGGTTGCTAGTTCAAGCCCCGGCCTCAGCAGAACCGTCACACGTCTGTGGGCCCTTGAGCAAGGCCCTTAACCCCCAGTTCCAGGGGTGACTCATGTTGGCTGACCTGTCCTATGACAAAGCTATGAAGGGCAAGATGATGCATGCGAAGAATTGCAACATAGTCATGCAAATGAACTATTTACCACTATGAGTTCTTCGTAACATTACCTTTGGGATACAGACAAGACTGCAGCAACTCTAAACACTACTATTCTATTTTTATCTCAGATTTGGGCGTTTAGTTGTTGTCATGCATAAACCAGTTTAAGTTAAGCTGTTAAACCTTAACTCATGGGGAGATGGCCTGGAAATCACCTGTAGGACTTTCCAGTACAGTTAGTGGTTACCTCCATTCCCTGAAGGATTACATGCTATTAAGCTGTACTGAGACAGCAGAGTAGCCTCAAACCACGATACTCACACCTTACTAATCTTATGTGCCGAGTGCCTGACTCACTGACGCCAAAGAACATACAAAAAGCAACATTTGTATGCCGGTCGTTTTAATTGAAATCGATTATTATATGAATGTGGCTGATTATCAGGTGGTCATAATGATGCATGAATAGCATTACAGGGTTCACAAAGATTCTCACACCACTGTACATACCGATGGACACACGCTGTGGGTTGATGTATGTGAGAGTTGGGCTGAGCATATATAGCCTTATTAAGGTCTGACCTTGTTTGGTAGGTGTTGTGTAGCTCCTACTCCTTTGGTAGGTGTTGTGTAGCTCCTACTCCTTTGGTAGGTGTTGTGTAGCTCCTACTCCTTTGGTAGGTGTTGTGTAGCTCCTACTCCAGTACTGCTTATACCTCACTGGAAGCTCAGCCTAGCTGCGCTCATGCCTGGTTGACTCCTTGACAGCATGTTAGTTTTTTCCAGACATTTTAATGAATGGTCATACAAGCCAATGGTTAATGACTTGTGTTGAACCATAATACTTACAAGCTCCATTCAGGCCTATTTGTGTTTAAAGTTCTAAGAAGTTGCTGAGCAAAGTGCTTAAACTGCGCCTGTCGTATTTCATTTTAAATTTTGTTTCGCAGTAGTTTTATTTGTGGTGCAAAAAGCTGAGAAGTTTGTTCATTTACAAAACAGCAAATCTTTCTGAATTTTTTTTATATTGCTTTGTCATTCGATTTACTTACCATTATCTGAATGTTCACGTGAGTAGTTGGGATATACAAGACACTCCAGAATATTTGGTCTTTTGTTTGGTTTCTACATTTGTATTGTGTCTTGTTGAGCAGTAAAAAAAAATGTTGCTCTTATTGCTTGGCCATTTGAGTCAGAGTGCTTTGAAGGAACCGGCTGATATACAATAGAAGTATATGAAATGTTTTTTTGTATGTTTAAAATATAAAACACTAGTTTATTTTGATTATTTGGTGGCTGTACTATGTAGTTTTTTGATACACTTACAAATAGGGCATTTTGTATCAAAATTTCATGTATTTCTGATGATCTCTGACACAGGTCAGAGCAAAGCCATTTCACTGACGCCGTGTTACTGTAGAAAACACATATTGCTCATTGTCGCTGCTATAAAGCACACACAGGACACTAAGCGCTTTGGCCATTGAGTCTTTTCCCTACACCAGCACACTAAAGCAATGGCTTTCCGCTCGCTTTATAAAAAACAAACCTTTTATCTCCAGTTAAAAATATTCATCTCAGAAGTGAGATGGGAATGAGAAAGACCGGGAAGCGCCAGGCGAACAGACACAAACTGGCGGTAAACACGCCATGCAAAAGAACGGACAGCGGAAACGTCCGCGCGCCTGTTTTTGTGCGCAGAGACGCACCGGAGCAGCTCGGAGGGACTCAGGGAGAATACCTGACATTGCTGATGGGATAAGAGACGCAGAGATGGAATTTGACAAGCCCAGTTCGATGCCCAGCCCTGGCAGTTTCCGGAACAGGCTGAACTTGTATTCAGCAAAACAAGCCAAAGAAGAGATGTACTTACTCAATCCTAATTTGACGTATTGATTTAATTACGGCTGTGACTGATTTACATACATGAAGTACACACTGGATAAACAGTAGTAGATATGGGTATGGGTACAGATTTTTAGGTCTGCTAAACATGTATGATAAATTTAACTTTAAAAGCAAATAAAATAACCCATAACAACGTTTTATATAACCTTTGTCACTAATACCAGTGCATAGATGATTCAATTTTAATAATTTTACGCAACAGTCATTAAAGGAGCTGCGCAATAGCTGTTTTGTAACCTCCAATAGACCTGTAGCTTTGTCTGGGGACTGTATGACCCCGGAATATGCAGCAGGTCCACATGGGCCACAGATCCCAGGCTTAATCAGCGCGTCAGGAGAGCAGTAAAGCTGGTCAAAAACCATCGACTTTGAGTAGTTAGCAGGGGGACACTGCTAGGCCTACTGCCCAGGAACAGACAGAACAGCTAGTGAGCCGACAACAGCTATGCTGGCGGACTTGTTCTGCCTGTTCCCAGCTCCGGTGTTTACCTCCTGACAGAAGAAACATTAGCCTATATTTGCGTGCAAGTCTGTTCCACTCGACCTTGCTAACACACACGGGTGGACCCTAACCCTGGAAACAGACACAGAAACCAGTGATGTTCCTGAAAGCAGGTCACGGCTTATCGATCTGCCGAGGCCGGACGGCGTGCGAGAGAGCAGGCGCTGTGCTGTGCGTGACGCGTTCACCCCCACCCGCGTACCCGCCCGGGGGAAACTGAGACAGCCTGCAGATTTCCAACAACGGTCTAAGACAGCCGACGGCACCGGACTGGGGCGATCAACTGCAGCACTGTCATAATAATGCTTCAACCAGCCTCTTGCTCCTAATGTCCCAGCTCATTAATGAGTACTGGCCACAGCATCCTGTCAGACACTTAGCTGATAAGTCAGTATGAACACGATGCTGCGAGTCGGTGGAAAAAGTGTCCATTGAGATTAATGAACTAGACCTTATTTGTATGGATTGCCCAAAACGCTGCTTGTGTCTGTCCCGTATACGACTGTCCAGGAGACACGTCTATGGTGTGTAATGTGTTCTGTATATATGCAGTTTGGCCCCTTATGCTGATACATTCCCAGGCTCTATATATGAGATATATATTTTTTTCGCCATAGCATTCCTGAAATGTGTCCGTGCCGCATTTTTATTTATTTAATGCTTCACACACCTGTTACCACATGTTTTCTTTGGCAGTTTACTCTCGCTAGGACTAAGAAACAGATTGCACCGATTTCAGTGTTAAGAAGGAAACCCGGATCATTTCCCAAAGTGTCATTGTTCCCTTATTGCAAAAGGTGAAACCTTTCCTGAAAAATCAATCTGCCAGAAATTCAGCATCACCCTACTCAGTAGATGTGATGTTATCTTATTAATGTAGCTGTCATTAGAACAGCGTGATAGTTCAGTTATATAAAGGGCATAACTTTGGGTTGAGGTCCCCATCCATTTAAGGGGGTCCAAAGGTTTGTATTGGCTGGATATGATTATTGGGGGGTTTACAACTCCCCCATCCCCCTTAATTTACTCCCATGATATAGAGATTAAAAGCAGAGATATTTAAAACTTACCTAATGCTCCGAGCACTAATATGAGCCACAGGGGCCGCTGGCTCGCCATCCCTCTTCGGTCCGCACGCCCAAGGGGTCCAGCAAACTGCGCTTAATCCGGATGCGGTCTCGTGGCCAGCTTGAACTACATCAACATCCGATTGCTCTTTATTTTAGGACGTTCAAGCGAAAAACCCACAAAATTAACGGGCAGCTTCTCCGTTTTGTTTCAACACAGCCGGGTATGCCCAGATTTAAAGAGCGTATCCATAAACGTCCCCAGTAATCAGTAGAGAGAAGAGATTTAATAGTGGATTAAATGATCTTCAAAGGAGCAGGAGAAAACTTGAGCTTATGGAGATGCTTTCAAATGACAGGACGCTCCCTTATCAGCTTTCTTGCTGTTCGTTTTTCAGTTAAATAATCCCTTTACGTCACTTTCATAAAGCAAATATCCACGACTTGTAATTCACTATAGCGCCGCGGTAAATAACAAATATTTTTTCTATAAAGAAAATATATTAAAACAAATAAAAACTCAAACTGCTATAAACAGAACAATATGGTAACACTTAGATTTGTGATGAATCCCGCTGTTTTTAACTTTCTTTCGAAGACTTCAAGAAACGAAAAAAAAAAAAAAAAAACAAAGAATATACAACTGGGTAACACGAAAGCGATATGTTCGGAAACTCTGTTCTAAGCCCTTTATAGAGGCGAATATGTGCGGATCCGAAACGCGCCCCGCTTTCAAGAACCTGCGCCTCCCGCGCGCACCTGTCGGAGGTGGCGCGCGACCTTTCCTCGGTCCCGCCCCCTTCAAGCGCTGGAGCCAGATCTAGAGCTCACCTGGAAGCTAAAGTCAGCCAACATGGTGACAGACTAACTGTGCTGCTGAATGAAGAATATCATCACAAGAACAGAATAACACAATCAAGAAAGGTCGAACTCAAAGGAGACCTTGTATATTTGTGGCGGCCTGTTATCTTCTGATATCAGTATATTAGGCCACATGGACCAGTAAGTTGGGCAAATGTACACACTTTACACTGTGTTTACACTTATGTGTCAAAATTCTGGGGGCCATTTAGCGTTATATGCAGAAGATCCACTGAACCCAGAGGAAAAACGTGGCCTTAAATCGTTAACCGACGTCCAATCATGTGAATCTTATGTCTACCGTCTAGAGGGCAGCTTCTTCCATCGCATGCAATTATGGTGCCTTTATGAGTGCGGGCCCAGGGAAGTACGTTTGTGACGTACATTGCATTACCATGTTAACCAAACACAAAAATAATGACAAACAAAACCACTAGCACTGAGACACATCAGATAAGCTCAGATCTCTACATCGCACAGCCATATTCACACGATTCACAAAACCGCCTGTATAAAAAGTATGTTGTAATCATACTCACTTGAAAACAGCTCAAAGCAAGATAACTAAGTGTTAGTGAAGTATCAAAAATGGCTGCCTTTAATAGCCCTTGGAATTCTTTTAATTTCAGTTCATTTTGTAATTTTATGGAAAATACACTTAACATGTTTTTCGAACGCACAAGCTAGAAAATATACATTTTCAACACATTTATACAACATGCTGCGACTACTACAAGAATTCCAGTGTGCCTGGAATGTTGGTTTTATGCACAAATGGCAAATAAAAATCTCGTATCTCTACTCAAAGGGAAAACAATTGAATATCAAAATTGTAACTTAATCCAGTTTCCATTTTCCTTACATATACACAATTATCCGATGACATTGACCTGGACAAGCAGTCGGAAGATTCCTACATCCATATTTTTAGTTTTTCTATTTTATTTATCATATCGTGCACGCAGGATATTGGCAACAATAACAGAAAAAATAAAAGATAAATTAAGAAAGAAATTACAATCAGTATACTCTGCACCAAATGAAGCTTATTATCATTGTCCTCAAAGTGCAGTAGCTTTGAAAGTTAAAATGCGGCACTGCACTGCTGCTGAACTATTACATGGCTTAAAATGAGGTTTGGCGGCTTGCAGAGGAGTGCAACAGAGTGCACGGCTCCACTGTCTCTGTCACACCCGTCACTTTTTGTGTGGGTTGATGGTCTCATAAGTGTCTTGGGCATGGGGGGATAATCCCTGAGCGAGGAAGACAGAAAGAACAGCGGAGAAATAAAGAGTCACCATAAAGATATACAATATACTGCATTTACACAGTGCTTAATAATCAACCAGGAAAAACACCACAATAACAACAACAACAATAAGAATGATAGTAACAATAGGCTTAATAATACTTACAGCATAAAGGCCTTCCTCAGGTTTTTTCTGTGAAATAAAAAATAATGTATTAGCCAAATTAACGAAAAGAAGCAACATTCACAAGAAAGGGCAGTGTGTGTCGAACGGGGGAGTGTTGTGTGCTGTGTGAACGAAGGATCTTTCACGCTGTGCGAATGGAGGAGCGTCCGGCCGAACGGAGGAGAGGGGCATCCTGCTCCGTGAGAACGGAGGAGAGGGGCATCCTGCGACGTGCGAACGGAGGAGAGGGGGATCCTGCAGCGTGCGAACGGAGGAGAGGGGCATCCTGCGGCGTGCGAACGGAGGAGAGGGGGATCCTGCTCCGTGCGAACGGAGGAGAGGGGCATCCTGCGACGTGCGAACGGAAGAGAGGGGCATCCTGCGACGTGCGAACGGAGGAGAGGGGGATCCTGCACCGTGCGAACGGAGGAGAGGGGGATCCTGCGACGTGCGAACGGAGGAGAGGGGGATCCTGCGACGTGCGAACGGAGGAGAGGGGGA